TATTATAATATTGCACAGTTATATATTTATATAATATTTCCATTACTTTTCCACAACCTTTCCAGTCATAGTGAATGGATTAGGATTTTCAAATAAATTACTTATAGAGATACTAGATGTATGTCAGGTGTGAATCTTTGGAATTAATTGTTAACAATGACTTTAATTAATTTGGAATTAATTAATTAATTAATTAATTAATTAATTGTTGTGAACAGTAATACTTTTGTGAACAAATGACTCCAAATAAATACATATATAAAATTGAAAAGATGCTAAAAACCCCCCAAAAATCTTTTGCTTCTTCATTACAGGAAACCTGTAAAAAAAAATAATAATAATTCACTGTAGAAATTTTTCAGGCCTATAAATTGCAATATTTATATTGATTTGTTTCCATTTTTCATGACCGCGGGAACCCTAGATAATGCATATATATGTTCAGCAGATATTCAAAATGTGCAACATGAAATAATTCAGATTAAATGAGAATGAAAAGGAGGTATGACATTGTAGATTTAACTCACTTTGCTAATATTCCAGTTTCTAAAACATTTCATTCTGCACAGTGATTTTCCTCTTCATTTGCAAACATTTACTGGTTTCCCTGGCAACTCAGTGCACAATTTTCTTACCCCTTTGAGCAGAAACGATGCATTTTATGCAAATTTGAACCAGCTTTCTTAGATATGAGCGCTTGTAAATGGCATGAAAAATCTATGCTAATTCGCCAACCATGAAAACTGCAACCTAAAAAGCATCAAACTTTTCTCTATTGAGTTTTTAATGAGACAATAGAAGGATGATAATGTGTTGTCTAACACGGCAAAGACACTTTGTTTTATTTCTATACTAAATTGCCAGCCAAAAAAAAACGTTTTCCTATCAGAGCTTGAGGAAAGATGTAAACAGTAAGCTGATGGAGGCCACTCATAGTTTTATTTGTTGTTTAGTCATTCAGAGGACGTGAATCTCAGCAGGCATAATCAATAGAGCCCTTCAATGCAATGAAACATAAGCGAGTGACAAGTTTGATGGTTGTCAGTCGAGCAAAGATAAATGGCGTGAAGCTTAACCACAGCATGTTGAATTATTTAGAGATGAGTCGCTGCAAAGGATCTGACTCGCCCCTCCTCTCTTGAAGATCAAGCGTGCTGACAAATTGTAGCGTTACTCTTTTACAAGTTTCTATGGACTGAGGTCATGAATAATTCTCTGTTCATATTTCTACCCTGGAACAACTTTTGTAGTTATTCTCCTCTATTCTGTCCTTTTAGTTTATTTTGCTAAGATAACAAATAAATCTGTCAAGATGCGCTTGTTATCTTTTGGACCAAATGCCTAAGGTTTTAACAAATTTGATCTCGGTAGGCTGTCTTTATCTGTTCCCGTTCAAATTCTGCCAGATGGGCAAGTTTTGAAATAGACTTTCAAAAAAGAGGAAAATGTGATGTGCAATTACAGTATTAAGTGGTCTATGAAATGATAAAGCCTTAGGGGTCTTCTGAAGGTTATATTGTAACAAATGATGACTTTCCAGTCACCTCTAATTTTCTCATATCGCAAGGAAACGTGCTTGCTGTCTATGTCAGGGTGTGTAATTAGGTGTAGATAGGCCAGATACTACAAAAATTACAAGGCAGAAACCACTGGTATTAAAAAAAATACTCGGAAATGGTCATTTAAAAGCCAAGGAGTGACTATTAGCTTTGTGAGAAGATTCTTTTACAGTAAAATGACATCCAGAAAGGTCATGGTTTGTTAAGCTCCCCCATTTTACTTTGTGCTATGGACCATTTTCACATTTCACAAAGCTGCTTGTTTTCAAACTTGAGGGGAAAAAATACTTTTGAAAGTGTTGAAATATATATATATATATATTTTTAAAGTATCATGATTCATTTTGTGATTCCAAAAGTTTTTTTTTATAATATAATGAATTTTAATAATTTTAAGTAATCATGGGGCACCCTTGGAAGTTTACTGAGGCCACCTAGCGGGCCCGGGCCCCCTGATTTAGAACCACTGCTATAGAGGTACATGGTAGACTATCAAAAATAATTATTTTGCTCTCTCATTTGCTCTAAAAGTAAAAACACAAGTTCAAATCCATGCATTTTTACTGCACAAAGCGAGAAAAAAAAATTGTCACTACATCATATTTTTATGAATATCTATATAGCTGTATAGGTGAATAGCTGTACAAAGCCCTGTCTTGTGACTTTATTGCTTTTATTGCTCAGGCTGTGCATAGAATCAAATGCGTCATGAGATAAGAGATGAAAGCAATAGAGTACATAGTCAGGTTAGATAAAAGCAGAAGAGGTCTGACGGTTTCCTTTAGTGAACACAACAGTATCGCTGTTAAACGACTAGAGCTGAACGTTTCACATTTTTAAACTGTATCTTACATTACTGATCAATTTAATGCAGTTAAACTGCTTTTTAACACAAATGCCATTGGCCCTGGTACTTGGTGTTTAGCTTATAAACAACAAAACTTATAAAACACCACTCCTGTGCTTTATTCATTATTTCCAATTCAGCATGTGTGATTAAGCCAGCAAAACAGCTTGGAAAAGGTTTATACAAATGGTAATGTTGTTTTGATGTCTGATTGAATATTTTATTACACATTAATTTTGATTAATGTGCTAATATAAGTGGAAAACATGGTGTTCGGAATTGTAATAGTGCACATGTATTTACTTATAGCGTTCCGGAATCTCATTGTCCAGCAGTGTAATACACAACCTCATACAAAATTAAAGAGCTAAAGATTTTTTTGGAGCTGAAAACAATAACACTGCACTAAGATTGAAACTGCATTCATGTTTTCCGGTCTTATACAGGGGAAAAACATTAAAAATGCTCTGCTGTATGGACGTCTCTGAAGATATGGCTGTTCAAAAGACGCTGAACAAAGAAAATCAACAAATTAATTATTAACACCCACAAAGGACATGCTGTTACATAAAGCTGTCAAGAATAATCCACTACTACACATTATAAACTCAAAGGGAAAATGCTTCTGCATATGTGGACATGACTACAGAAATGAAGTATGGCAGGTACGCATACTGTGTGCAGTGTATGCCTGATATATCAAATATGGCTTTTGCCTGCAGAAAATGTGACTTGTTATGAAATGCTGCATACCTTAGTGCAAAATGTGGCACATTTTGGTCTAGCACTTTTTGTAGTAAGCATATTTACTTCAAATGATATTGAAAACAGCTTTTTAAAATATTCACATATAGCCTCTTTTTGGGGGACAGACTTGATTAACTAACTAGCATTGGTAAGCTGAGCTAATATTTCATTCAGGTTTATAATCCTGGTGTGAAATGGTTTTATATAAATTACGTTTTATCTGATTCCAAATGTGACGTTTGACGAGTGTATTAGCAGCAGGTATTTGAATAACAGAGAATGATGAGCCATATGGATATTAGCTCTTAGGCAGTGACTGCTTTGAGAAAAGCTTTATGACACAGAGCCATCTGCTGTTCATAGCACGCTATTGCAACATAATGCATGATTCCCAATCACGACGTCCACAAAAAAAAAAGAAGAAAAGAACAAAAGAACACGTGAGTCTATGAGATAGCCTATATTAACCATCCAATCATAATAAAAACAATTAGCAGGGAGTCACGTGCTAACACAACATAATTTACTTTCCTTATGGAACCAGGTTATCTTAAATGATGTGTACCCTACTGTAATTACATTAAGTGACTTTACTGACCTTTAATATGATGGCAATTTTAAATTGATTGTGTCAGGGTTGGACAAAATTCATAATTTAAGAACTGATGCCCTTTCATGGAATGTGATAAATGTGAACAAATTCCGAATTTGAAAAATAATAATAATAATTATCACAGCCACACACAAGTTTTGTGACAAAACCGTAATAATTACATTATTACTTATGACTAATCATGCCTATTTTCGGTCATTATTAGTAGTAGAAAACGTTTTCTCCAAAAATAACTATTTTTTTTCTTACATCATTGGCGTCATCTGAAATGCTGTGTATATAATAATAGGCAGGCCTAACTGATCATGAAAAATGAACTATAATATTAAAACTACAATAACAGCAGTTAAGAATAGGAATTTTTCTACATTTCAGTCCGTATTTTTGGCATTACAACCCTGCATGGATTGGAATTTAATAAGCATTCTCAATTTAATTCTGGAAGTTCTACTCAGCTGTAGTTATCACTGGATTGATTTATTACCACTTTAGATTATTAATTTAATGACTACGATATTTACTGAAGACCATTTCATATATTTTGAGCAGAGGCTCTCTCCTGCAATGCTTCTATCCCAGCATGTGGTCTGAGGCCCCCCAGTTGTTTACAGAGGTACTGCGGGTTTTCTGGATTACGTTTTTCTGTAAACAATTGTTAAAATACATTTTACATAGTAAATAGGCATATTTTCCTGATTGTATGTTTGACTGATTATCTTAACCTCTTGTACACATGTCCTAAAACGATAAGTACAAAACTACAACGACAAACTCAACTAGTTAGAATGGAAACCTTGCGTTGTTCCCAAATACATCCACTAGAGGTCCCTACAAACATGATATTGACAGGCGCTCATAAAACTGAGCTGTAGGCCTATATGAAACACTAAACGTAAATTTGGTCGTTGCATAGAGTTTCACAAATAGTAGAAATTAATGGAATAATATTTTATAAATCGACACATCAGTGGAAGTGACTCCAAAGGACACATGGACTGTGTGTGGACACTGGAGTATGGACTATGGCCATATGCACTAACTTTTAAAAACACTACACGGCACTAAAAGAACATTCAAGCATCTTCGGCCCAGACAAGTTCTGAATCATTAATTAACAGTGAACAGTTCGATGTTTAGAACACTGCACTGATATATAGCCTATTTACTGTAAACGACTGTGTAGAACCTAGAAAATAAACAAGACCTGGCAACCCTTGAGTCAACTCGAGCTCTGTTTTCCCTTGAGCTAGAAATGCTGTCGGTTCACTGTTTCAACTTTCTACTTTCATTTTCTCTTGACAGAAGTGTTGAGTACGCGTTGTTCAACTAGTTATTCGAGTTCAACTAGTTCTTTTCGCTCGATGAGCTTTAAAAGGGCTCTGAGGGTTTTGTTCTGTGGTCTGTTAAGGTTTTTTCGAACTTTGACTACTTTGGGTTGGCGTGTTCTTAGTAAACTTCGTTTGAGATATACTCGTCCGATTATCATGTCAGGTGATGAGTGCGAGTTTGACTCCACATGGGAGGATGGAGACGAAAATAAAACACCCAGGAAGAAGGTATGTTTGAACTACAAAGATTGATTTTTTTTCCCTGGTCTGGACTATGAAACATTTATTAACTGAAATGTGTTTAGGTAGGTTAGGTAGGCTGTACGTTATTATGCTATTTACTATCACTTCCGCTTTCTATTTCTATGAATGTGAAACGATTTTACAAACAACCGTCTCATTTGGGATTTCTGTGTGTGTTTACAGATGTTTCACAGCCACGGAGGGAGTCGCAGGAACATGTTTGCTGCAAAGGACATGCAAGCCTTTCGACATAGTTTCCGGGTGAGTGTCATTACCTTCAAATAAGAAAGGTGTTAAATACGGTGTGAAATAAGAGTGTGCCATTCTTTAATGCGGTTGTCCTTTTCTAGGCAAGGAGAAAGGAAGCAGGAATAAACCTAATACGCTGTATTATTTGTATCTCTAACCTAAAGTAGAAGAAAGCATGCAGTTACAGAAATGTGACTTTTCAAAAAGAAAGCTTTTAAATAGTGTCATGGCAACCCTTACGAAAATTAACCATGGTTGTGCTACACTAACCATTATTTAATCATGTTGTTTGTAGTAAAAGTGTGGTAGTACAAATGGTACTCAATACGCCAAAAAAAAAACAAAAAAACATGGTAACTACACTTTCGCTTTAATACAACCGTGGTTAATTTTCGTAAGGGAAAAATGTGTACAGTTTCCTATATTAACCCACTGTCTTACCCATAGATATGTACATATCTATGATCTTACCCCACTCTACTCACTCTACAAATTAACATGCCAACTCACATTACTCCATTGAAACAAATGTGAAAAACACATAGATGAGTATCTAAATCACACAACAGGACATGCCTAAATGTTACCAGAGCCTTCTAGGCTAAAATCTTACAGATTGTGTTTGTTTCTGACTCAAGGGCTTGGATAATATTAGTGATGATGATGATGGTGCTGGAGGACAAGATAAAGTAAGTAATCCAATAATAAAATAAGTTTCTGCCGTTACACTCATAATTAGCCACTTCAAGCATGTCAGTGTACAGTATTAGAGTTATAGAGTTAGAGTTATTTACACAAAACTTGTTTGATAGCTCACTAAGCAGTCTTGATTTGGAGAAGATACTTGATAATGGGTTTGTGTAGTGTTATTATTAATGTTGATGTTGTTGTTATTTTTAAGGGCCACTTCTATAACCTAGAATTTTACCGTGGTAAATTAAGATCTTCACCTGATGGTATGGCATTGCACTCATTCTATAGTAAAATCACACTGTTTATGTTTTTCATTTACCTGTTACAAGTGTTATTCAAGGAAGTGCTTTAACATATTACTTTGTTTGTGCAGAACTTTACATCAATGATTTTCACCAGACGTGGTTGGGTGAATATGACTTGCTGGAAGATGTTCACTCCTACATTCAATGGTTAGATCCTGTTCCACTTCATCCAGGAGTTCTAGTTAACACTTTTAATTATTATGTATGTTGTAAGTGTTTGAATGGCCATCATTCAACTAACCATTTTAAAACTTTGCAGGTTGTTTCCAATACAAGAGCCGGGGGTGAATTGGAGAGCGCATGTGCTCTCAAAAAAGGAAATAAAGGTCAGTTTAAAACATTTACTTAGATGGGTTTTTCAACTTTATTTACCAACCATCTAAAAAAATATTTATCTGGAAGGATTTCTCAGGAAATATTAGTCTCCGTTCAGAAGTTGGTTACAGCATATTGAAAAATAAAGAATGCTTAAAGGGGTGGTTCACTGGTCTTTTTCTAGGCTTGATTGTGTTTATGGGGTGCAGTCTAACATGTGTTAATGCTTCGTTTCCCCTTTGCTGCCTTTTCCCGAGGGCGGGGTTTATCTGGGTTTGTGATGTCACGAACCCGGGAAGTAACTCGTTGTAGTCCCTACGAGCCGTTTTTGTAGGCATTAAACTGCCAGAATTTTAAAAGAGGATATCTCCGTTTGCATTGAACTTTCAGCTTCGTAACTTTGCAGATATTGTTTATGCTCAAACAGCAACATTACACACTAACTAATGTTAAAAAAGTGAAATCGCAATGAACCACCCCTTTAAATTAATCTGCTCCATTTTTTTTCCAGCTTTTCCGTAAAGATAAAGAAGCAAAGAGCAAATTGGTGCAATCATATAAGCTCATGTTGGATTTCTACGGCATATGTTTGGTCGATGAATCAACAGGAGAGGTGGCTCGTGCTCCTAACTGGGAGGACCGCTTTAGAAACCTGAACAGGTTTTTACCGTCATATTTTTTTTTCTATTTGTTGCATTTCAGTTGATGTTGTTTCAACACTTTTAGGGCTAAATAGTTTTTCCTTTGATTTTGCAGACATACACATAACAACTTGCGCATCACACGCATCCTGAAGTGTTTGGGGACTCTAGGATTGAAGCACTACCAGGCCCCTCTGGTCAAGTTTTTCCTCAATGAAACTCTTGTCATGGGACAGCTTCAAAATGTGAAGCACAGTGCACTAGATTACTTTATGTTTGCTGTATTGGACAAGTCAGAGAGAAGGGAGCTGGTTAAATTTGCCTTTAAGCATTTCAAGCCCCGAGAACACTTTGTCTGGGGCCCAAGGAAGATTCTGTCAGGTCAGGTGGCGCACTGCAAAAACAAAAACTTGGACCAGCCAACAGAGAATAATAGTAGTAGTGCAGAAGATCAGCAGAAAATGGTGAATCTCCATGAGAGCAAACATAAAATGAACAAAATAGACACCAGTCATCCTCCTAAAGAGATGCAAAGTAAAAAAGATCACCAAAATAAAGATGAGCCAGTTATTCCAAACAAATTGACAGAAACAAATAGTGAAAATGAAAATGAGGGTGTAGTAAAAAAAAAAAATCAAGATTTGAGTGTTGGTGTCAGTGATGGTGATGATAATGAAAACGTAGCACCAGCAAACAAGTCTCATGGTCATGGTGCTGTTAGTGGTTCTCACCAAACTGAAGAGAAGAGAAAAAAAGATCACCAAAATAAGGATGAGCCAGTTATTCCAAACAAATTGACAGAAACAAATCAGTGGGCAAATAAGAGCAGACAGTGTAGCTCAGACAATGGGGATGTAGTAAAGCAAAATCATGAAATGAGTGTTGGTGATGGTGATGGTGTCGGTGTTAGTGATAATAACGAAAACATAGCACCAGCTAACAAGTCTCATGGTCATGATGCTTTTGTTGGTTCTCACCAAACTAAAGAGGGGTCTTCATGTCAGGTGCATGACGTAGAAATGAAAGATGAAACTGAAGATAAAGAATCAGAAGATAACCACAAAAGGTTGAATCCCCATGAGAGCAAACATGAAATTGAAAAAATAGAGGCTAGTCATTCTCCTGAAGAGATGAAAAGTAAAAAAGATCACCAAAATAAGAATGAGCCAGATATTCCACACAAATTGACAGAAGCAAACAGTGTCAGTGTTAGTGACGATAACGAAAACACAGCACCAGCAAACATGTCTCATGGTCATGATGCTGCTAGTGCTTCTCACCAAACTAAAGAGGGGTCTTCATGTCAGGTTCATAACGTAGAAATAAAGGATTAAACTGAAAATAAACATGAAAAATCTGAAAATGAGCAGTAAAGGGTGAAGCCAGTTAGTCCAAACAAATTGACAGCAAAAAAATATGACTTATTAGGGAGCAAATGAGAGCAGTCAGTGCAGCTCAGAAAATGAAAGTGTAGTAAAGCAACATAAAGAGATGAGTGATTGTGATGATATCGATTACATAACAGCAGCAAACATGTCTCATGGGGATGAAAGGATAGTCTTCACCAGTTTAAAGAAGGGGCTTTTTCTGACATCTGCCATAAAAATGAGGGTGATTAATGAAACGTAATAGGAAAACTTAACAAGCACTGTAAATGCTAGTCTTATGAGTTTTCATATTTGTTTTTCTAAATTAATTCACAGAAAATATATTGGAATGTTCTTTATGAATTAAGTTAAAGTGCTATTCTTAAAGATGAATGTTTTTTTGCTTGTTTAGCAGATTGTCAGAAGGAAAAAGAAATAGCATCATAAAAGTACATTTGTCTGTCATTTTTGTGTAGGAAATGTAATATTATATTGATGTTTTTTTTCTCATTTTGTTTTTTTATGGATTGTAGTGATGAATTGTTAATGTACTGATAAATTGTTAACTGCTAAAAAAGTAAATGTAAACTCTTCACTGACAAAACATCTTTGACTAAAGCCTGACTGCTTTACAGGAAATTAAGTAGTGAAATTGTGATGAAGCAAAGTTGCACTATGAAAATTAGCACCAGTAAATGTTAGATTTGTGAGTTTTATGATTTTGTCTACTCTGATGAATTATTTTTTGAGAACACTGGAAATGTCTTTATGCCTAAAGTTGAAATGTGAGTTTTGAAAAGTTAAATATTTAATCATGTAATTTAGCTAATAAAATAAAAATGCTTAAATAAAGCCTGTTATAAACTACACTAAACATGTCATGGAAATCAAATGAATATTAAAGCTGTTTAAAAAGTTTTTGGTTTGTTTAAGAATATTGTTATCAAGATCATTATTAAAGTTTGGAGTTAGAGAATTAAGAGAGTAGCATTGCAGAAAAGAGTGGATTTCCATGAGAGCAAACATGAAATGAAGAAAAATAGATGCAAGCCAGCCTCCCGAAGAGAGGCAACTTCATCATTTATAAGGTGAGGTTTTATTCTTAAAGGTGATTTTTTTTTTTTTATTATTAAGATTTCTACTGCTGAAGCAAATAAATGTCTTCCCACTAATACAATTCTGCTTTTACTGATGCAAATATGATGCTAAAATAGAGCATGTTATAAATCACACTGAACATATTGCAAAGACGAGTAGGCCTACATGTAATAGATATCAAATAAAATAAAAAAGATATTTGTTTTTAGAATATTCTTCTAATGATTATAATTAAAGTTTGATCCTGAAAATAGCAAAAATATGTGCCAGATTAGTCTAGACCTTCTTTTAGGTTTTTTGTAACCTGCTTTTTGTCTAAATCTGAACATTAATGCAAGACATGGCAACCCTTGAGTAAACTGGAGTTGTGTCATTCTTGTTGAACTGTACTTTCGGTTCACCGTGACCTTCAGCTTTAATTTTCTCTTGACTGTGGGAGTGGTTGAGCACTTTATAGGCAGGTGTGTAGAGTCTGCATGAATTCTTGTGTCTGCTTTATGTTTTTTAATATATATATATATA